ATTTTATTACTTACTTATCGCACTTCTTTAAAAAAAAAAAAAAAGACATAAAAATTGAACCCTTGTTTTCACACTTCCCTGAAGTCATGTGGCTGCACATTGTATCCACTGGCAGAAAAAAACAGAATGCTTGGTGATAAGAGTTGCAACTCTTTGGTGCCATCAACATGGGAAAGCAGAATTACTAGGTAAGAAAAGGAGATAAAATATTCCCTGCACTCATATTCTCTCTCTCTTTTCCATTCCTTCTCTCTTGTCTCTCTCAATGTTTCTTTCTCATTCACACACATGGCAAAGATAAAGGGGAAGATACTTTGAAAAAGGCTGATGGAAAATGGAGAAAGAAATTAAGAGAAAGTGACCAAGTAAAGACTAGGTTCTATAATCACTGTGGGGACTGAAGTGAATGGGAAGTGACAGCAAATCAACAGACAAGGAATGAGTGGAAATGAGCGAACAACAGGTAAATCAAATGAGGGGAGGAAAGGGCAGCAGGAGACTACCGAATGCTCCTTCATGTTTTAATGCATACATAAAATAAAGCTTTTATTAGCCCAAATATATTTGTGTTCCCAGCAAATAAGCCCTTATATTTCCTGGCATCCCTCTGAGCAATGAATTGGGACTTTTTAACTTAGCTTTTGGTTAAACTGACTGGAGAAACTGGATCACACACAGAGTGGCCCAGTAAATCAGAGCAAGTTCCTTTAAGAACAACCAGTAGACAAAGCACAGGATCGTCACAATAATTTCCCTGAAAACAGAAGTACAATACACTAAAAAGAACATAAGATGGGCAGCAGCAGGTGTATACTTACCACTAGAGCAGTTGGGGCCCCCCCAGCCAGGCTCACACTGACAGGTGTTTGGAGCAATACAACGTCCATGGACACATTTATCAGCACAGTGAGCTGTCAAAGAAAGAAATGAATAAAGTAAGAACACTTTAAATCCAGCCCTTTTCCCAATCCAGCTGATTCACATCCTTCCACCAAACATATTTTAAAAACAAGAAAAATGTTGGCATTGTCATGTTTGTTAGTTTATCCTCAGATTCATTTTCCAGATGTTGGTAACAAGTATTTGAAGACAATGCAACCTCTTCTCTAATATCAAAATCTAAAAGTTAATCTTATTTTGGATGCTCAAATAGTATGTTATAGTTAGCAATGGGAAGATATTTGAAACTTTTAAATGAAAAAAGAAACATACAGAAGTGTTTCCTGAAACAGAAGGTAAAGCACAATACCTGACAACACAACAGTAATTTAATATTCATTTTTATGAGTGGCTGCATGACTCAGAAGCAGAACAGCAAAGTTATGTCCACTAGAGACATAGAGAATGTAAACATTCAGAATTATCCTACAATTATCATGTTGCAGGGAGCAGGTTGAATTTTTTCTTTTTCTTTAAATAATTAGGGGCTGCTTTTCTCTAGCTATAAACTTTTGGGGAAAGCTTCCAGCTTTCCACTGCAACAGAAAATTCAGAATGTCAAAATTGTTTTCAGTTTATTTCCTCCTTTCTCCTCCTGCTATCCTTTACTACATCATCATCTTTATTATCATTGCATGCAAGTTTAATCTCTCCTCCTCTCATTTTATTCTTTCAAAACTTCCTCAACACATGAAAAATCAGTAAATCTGAAAATGTACTGATTACAAAAAGAAAAAAATGAAAGAGAGAAAGAAGGAAAATTAGAAAGTGAACAATAGTCCTGGAAATCCTTCTATTGACTTTGGCAGCAAAATAAAAAGAAGAAGAAAGAGAGAAAAGGCTTAAAAACAAAAAGTGAAAATATGAAACTAATCAAGACATGTTTCATGTCCAAATTCAATTTCACAAAATCATTCTGCTTTGGCATAAAAAAAAATTTTTAATTTTCCAAAATTGTTTTTTTCCTTTTTATTAGTCCATCCTGCTTCCAAATTTGGAGGAGAGTTCATCCAATCTTTGGAGCACAGGAACGGAAAGCTATATCCTGCCTGTGACACTCACATTCTACCCTCTTGGACAAAACTCAATCTTTCTTCTTCAATTTCCTCACCTATAAAAATGAGATATATAATGCTTGCATACCCACATCACAGGTTATGGTGAGAATTAATGCTGGCACTTCCAAAGCTTTTTGAAGGTATATAAGCATTGTATAATTATTACTGGTGAAGAATTAAAAGTGGTCCAGCTGCTAGAAGAAACATGTTTTGTTAGCATGGTTTGCACAGGGAAAAAAGAAGCCAAGAAGCTAATGGGAGCAGCTTAAAGAAGACCGATATCAGGCACTGGTCAGGAATCTTCTCAGGCTGTAGGCTAAAATGACCCAGCTCAGATCAGAGATAGGCAGACACTAGGATCTGTTTGCTGCTGCCACTTCTTGGCATGCTGAAGCTTTGCGTCTATGAGATGGATTCAGTGGCTCCATGGGCCAGAGGTTGCCAGCCCTGGAAGAGGGGGATAATTAGGACTGTCATAAAACCATGAAGCTACTAGAGAAGGGAGCTCCGTGAGAATAAAATTAAGAGAGATATTTGTGGACAAAAAAAGCAAAAATGCAGACAAGACAGCATTTTGCAGTATGTGACATTGAGCTGTTGTCAATCATAGTGGCTGACAAGTCAATACAAAATCCCGCCCTCCCAGATATCAAACATTATCTAGTCTAGTCCTTAGTTCAGATATCTAATCTTTCTCAGAGACCAGGCCATTACTGGTACTCTGAAGGAATCAGGAATAATACATAAAGCTAAGCACAAAACAGTTTTCCCACCCTGCAAAATGTTTTTGCTATTTCCATGTCATTTCTTCATTCAGATTTTTTATTTTTGCATGAAACAAAAGAAGGGAGGACAGAGGAAGCCAGTGAGAGAGAGCTCTGCCTCAAAATAGACAAATGAAATAGGGACTTGAACAGAGAATATCTCCAGCATCCCAAATGAGTGCTGTAGCCACTAGACTATTGCCCAAAGCTACAGACTATTCTGAGGTTTCTTGTTCACATGCATGTGTTCAGACCAAAAATTCCATTCCTGACCACAGAAAGATTTCACAATCCAGGTTTCACCAAAATGTTTCCTCAGGAAAACGTGGCACTTCAAGAAACATGCATTTCCTAATGAAAAACATCTTGAAATATTTCCAACCAGTTTTAGCAATAAATAAAATACTCCAGACATTGATGACTGACCCCACTGTCTAGTACTTCTGTTCCTAGTGAAGAAAAACAGATAAAGGAGAATGCAAAGAAGAGTCCCCAGGCAGCAACAGACACTCTTGACAATTTCAGTTTCAAATTCTATCAATTTGTATTAAGATAAATGTTTTCTCCAAATCCAAGATGACTTTGAATCTAAGATGACCCCCCAATAATTAGACTCTATTTGGGAAAAAATATGAATTTTCTTATAATTTTCTCTGTATAGAATCTAAGTATTGGGGAGTTATCTTAAAATTGTCCGTTCCCCCCATTCCCATCACTGCAACAGGGAAAACAGTGCTTAGGAGGCAGGTAGGCAGAAACCCCACCCCTTGCCCACCCAACTCCTTGTTCTCTGCGCTTGCTCCTGCCCCACCAGCCACTTACCCACCCTGCTTCCTGGCCCCCTGCCCATCATCCCCCTGGCAATTTGCTGCCCCTCCGCCAACTGCCCTCCATACCCCAGCCACTCATCCTTGGCTGCTTATCTTCTGTGGTGGCTCTGGCTCCAAGACAGTCAACAGCAGTGGTGGCAGCTCCGGCCCCAGCCCACCCAAGGGGAGGTCCAAGCTGGACTGGGTCAGGATTGAGGCTGCAGCCAATGCAGGAGCCAGAACCAAAGGTAATCATGGAAGAGAGGGAAGGCAGCAGGGGAAGCAGGCTACAGGGTCTTCTCCATATACCCCCTGAGCTGCACGTCATGGGTCTCCCCGACCTTGCCACATGGTCTCTGCTGCACTCCCTCAGCTGCATGCCACCTTCCCCACAGCACAAGCCACCCCTCACTGGGGCTGGTTGTGGCTCAGTTCTAGTTTGCCTTGGACCCAGACCTCTGGGCCTAGCAGCCACCTGCCAGTACTTGAATCCAAAACAAAAGCTTTTCTTCCCCCCCCCCATATTGATTGGGGAAAGGAAAAAAGTCATTTTCAATTCCAACAGATATCGTAAATAGTTGTAATTTTCAAGAAGTATATATGATACAGTAATTCTCTCTGTAACATCTCTGAACACAACAGGAATTGGATCACTTATGCTAATCAGAGATGAACCTCTGAAGGAAAACAGTTCAGGGGCTGTTTGCAAACTGACCTTGTGCTGCGTGAGCTGGGAAAACTATAACTTTATTAGATAAAAAAAATCAGTAATTCCAATGATTTTTTTCTAACCAAGCAGGAAGAGCCCAAGTGATCATCTGTAAGCTTTGAATGATAAAGAAAAATGAAGCCCACAGAGATCAGTCTGATAAAGATGTGCCTCATAAATCACTAAAGAGCCCTAGGCCGTTGACTTCATAGTTTCACAGCCTTTTTTTCCCCTCTCTCAACTATTATTGCTGGTAAGTCCTTTTTCAGACATGAATTAAAATGCTCTTCATTAGAAATCAACGATGGAAAAATGTATTTTTAAAGCACCAGTTGATAGAAAATATTAATATAATCTCACTGTTTTCTTTGTTTAATTCATAAAGAGTGAAATTAAATAATACATCACCAGCCTTATAACTAGATATGAACTATCCGAATCTTTGAAAATTTTTGTCTGAAATTAAGGTTGCCTCAGGCATTAGAAGAGCTGGAAGTGCTCCCTGAGTCAAATCTACTATAAAACTTACCAATGAACCATACAGCAATTCAAGGTAATAGCAAAATAATCTAGAAAGAAGGTTCCTTTGCAGTTACTTAACTAACTTGTAAAAGCAGTACAGATATCAGACTTTTGTTGGTGTTATTTCTATGTATTCTACAGTACAAGTAGTGGGATTGATACAACTGGGACCCAACCCTGAGGCACATCATACAGAAATTTGGGTTTAGTATGCCTGCCTACCCACACATCATCAATGTGAGTCTCCTGGATTTGGGGATAACTCAAACAAGCTATGCAAGACAAATCAACCCAGCTTCAGATTGAGGAGACACCAGTCAAAGAATTCCTAACACTGTGATGAGTTTTCAGCTGACTCACCAGGCAAATGTGTGACAAAAAACTTTGGCTATATTACTGGACGCATACCCTGTACTTTCTACTTCTGTCACTCTTGAAGCTAAGCTGCCAAAAGTCTTGCCTGTACAATTATCAAATTTCACAAGCATATGACATAATATAAAAGCTGCGCTGAAAACAAGAAAGTTCTAGCAGGCACTGACTGAACCTATAGCAAACAGAAGTTTGGGTCTGTATTTTAAAAAGAAACAGGAGTGTACAATGCAGAAGGCATCTCCTAAATTAGGACTTTATTCTGGTCTCAGTTTCAATAGTATAAATCCAGACTAATTTCAACAGAGTGCTAGTTCAGTTTTACAGCAGTGTAACATTGATCAGAGATAAGCTCGCAAGAATTCTCTTACTACTAAATAACTCGCGGGTAGAATATTTATGGGAGTTGTTTCTGCATTCCTTGCATACTCCAGACTCCTCAACTGGCCACTCTTTAAGGTCACAAGAAATGCAGGATCAGGCCCACTGACATCAAGGATGTTGTATGACAAATGCCATTTCTTCCAAAGGCTGTAATAAAGATAAATTAAAATTTCAAATTAAATCCTGTCCCCCAGCCCCCAACAAATGTAAATTTCCCAATGGAATGATGTGTCTTATATACATAAATACATAAGGAAATGCACATCACTGTTATTTCTGAGACGTTAAACTGAAGTTGACAGGTGTTTCAGGCTTATAGGAAATTCAGGATCACATCCTATGCATGCAAAGACA